TTTAGAAGTTAGTATTATAAATATACGGTCATTAATTGGGTTGTGATAAAATCAGAGGGTCTAATAAATGACCGAATGAATTTTTTACTGGGTCAGAAGGGCTTCTGACGGATCCAATAGTTGACCGGTCTTAAAATAATATTAAAACTTATAATTTAACTTTATTTTTTCAAAAAAGTTGGAATCTGATCTTTAATTAACATAATAAAACTAAAATATTTTATATTATGCCGATAAATATCACTAAATTAATGATGAAATGCTCTCACTCTCCAATTGTACGCTAGTTATTTTTGACCGCTTTATGGCTGGTTCCGTTGTAAACAAACTCAGAATATTTTTTTAAAGCTATAATCACTGCCCAATTAATTGCGTAATTTTTTATTATGATAATTAAATGCCATATTGTTTTATTTTAATACTTTAAGAAAAAAAAAACCCTTGTAAAATATTAATTAATAAACTTTTTTATACATCGGTCAACTAATTGGTGATCGGTCAACAACTAGTGCATTTACCCTAGCAGCCATGAGAATCAATTTAGCAGATATTTAATAATTTTTAGAATTTTTTTAACAAATAAACTATGGCAAAAAAAAATTGACATGTAGAAATTTAAAAAAATTATAAATGCAATTTTTTGAAAGTAATTTTTTGGAGAAAATTTATTTATTAAAAAAAATTAAAAAATTATCAAGTGACAACTGACTTCAATGTCATTTAGCAGCTACTTAACCATTCTTTTATTTTATTTAAAAAATAAATTTTGTTGAGAAAAATATTTATGAAAATTAACAGACACTTCGTTAAAATTTATTAAAATTTCTACAACTCAATTTTTTTTCCCCATTTTTTTTTTGCTATAATTTATTTGTTAAAACAAATATCAAGAACCTGCTAAATTAATTTTCATAATTTTATTTATATATTTATATATCTTACTTTTACAGATGACCCTCCTTTTTTTTCCTGTTTTCCTTTATCACTTTCATCAGCACCTTTTGTTGATTTTGCTGCTTTTGCATTATTTCCTTTTTTTGGAGGCATTCTAATTACAATTATCACTATTCAATTTTTTATTTACCTATATTATTGTTTTTTATAAAATTTATTTATAAAAAATGTGATATTTTAGGTTATAAACAAAATATCAACTGAGCAAAACTGATTTTTGACTCCATTTAAAAAACATTAGTCACTGAACACATACTATAGTTATAGTAGGAGAGTTAGTATAGTATAGTACACTTATTTAGCTCCATTGGACGCAAGTCAGTTCGCTAAAAACTATCTAAATATCAGACCGTCAAATAAAAAGAGATTAATAATATAAAAATTAAAAAAACAATCTATTAATTAATTTAAAAAATGTCTTCGGTATTGCTACCAGAAGTTCCAGCTCCAGGATTTTCTTTCGATTTGTGTAAAAGGTAATATAAAAAAATTACAAAATTATAACCCAACTTTTAAAATACTGCTGTGTCATTAGAATTATTTTTGATATTAAAACTTAAACAATTATTTAAACAAATAATTTATTATTTTTTTTCTTATTATTATTATTAGAAATGAATTGCTGGCTAGTAAAGGATATGCTGCACCGAAAGCCCAAAAAACCGGTACGACAATTGTTGGAATAGTTTACAAAGATGGTGTTATTCTTGGCGCAGATACTCGTGCTACTTCTGGTACAATTGTAGCTGATAAAAATTGTTCTAAAATTCATTTTTTGTCCCAAAATATTTAGTAAGTATAACATAATTATAGACTTAAAATAATAATAATGATATTGAAATTAGCAGACATTTGACAATTCTGACATTAAAGTCAGCAGACTTTACCATTATTTTTAACAAAAAAATTTATTTTGAAAAAATATTTTTAAAAAAATTGATAATACTAAAGTTAGTCGACGTTTTTAATTTTTTTTTACATTTATTAAATTAGAACTAAAAAATATTTTTTAAAAATTACACTCATGGTTTTTCAAGTTTTTTACGAATGAATTTTTTTTTTGTAATAATTTTTTCAATAAAAAAATTCTAAAAATTTTTAGACGTCGACTAACTTAATTTTCGTAAAAAATTGCATTTTTAATTTTTTAAGTTTCTAAATGTCAATTTTTTTTCTTATTTTTGTTTGTCAAATTTTATTTGTTAAAAAAATTATTAAATATCTGCTGAATTAATTTTCATGACAATTCTTGGAATTTTTTAACGCATTAATTACTATAAAAAGAATATTTAAAAAAATTTACACTTGTAATTTTTTAAAAATTTTTACATGTGAAATTTATTTGTTAAATTTTTTTTAATTATTATAAAATTTTTGAAATTATTAAGTGTCTGTTTAATTAAGTATCATATAATAATAATAATAAAATTATAGCTGTTGTGGAGCTGGTACGGCTGCAGATACAGAGAAAACCACAGAAATGATAGCAAGTCAATTAGAATTGCATCGTTTAAACACAGGACGTGTACCAAGAGTTGTAACAGCTAACAGAATGTTGAAGCAACATCTGTTCCGTCATCAAGGACACATTGGTGCTGCTTTAGTTTTAGGAGGTGTTGATATTGATGGTCCTCATCTTTATGCCATCTTTCCTCATGGTTCTAGTGAAAATTACATGTTTACTACCATGGGATCAGGATCTTTGGCAGCAATGGCTGTTTTTGAAAGCCGATGGAAACCTGGATTAACTGTAATTATATTTTTTTCGAGACATCTGATTTTTTTTTTTTAATAATAAATAGCAAAAAAAATTTATTAAAAAAATTCTATATTTAGAAACTTTAAAAAATTACGAAATTTTTTAAAAATAATTTTCTAGACCTAGCTTACTATTTAAAAAAAAAATTGTCAAGTGGAATTTTTTTATGATACTTAAATTGAGAAACATCTCATTATTTTTAGATATTTTTAGTAGATTTCATAAAAATTTAACTATTGTATTTGTCCTCATGACGTAATTTTCCGTTAATTTTACTATATTTCGACCTAACTCGACAATCTGAGTCAGAAAATACATATGGTTCAAAAGTTTATATATGTATGTATATATATATATACGATATAACGCGGTTTGTCACGACGATAGCGTCAACAATTCTTAAGGGATCTCAATGAAACTTAACATACTTATTCTATCGACTATTAGGAAGGTCAAGTTCAAATATGAGCTTAATCGGTCAAATAGTTTAGAAATTACACCAGTTAAAAATTTTGAAATTTTGAAAATTTGATACTTTCACTACTTCTCCTTCAAATAACTTTTGAACGCGTCGAGTTATTCGATTTCTGTAAAAATGCATCTGAAAGCTGAGAAATTAAGCTTCAATTTATGTGCTCACATTTTTTTCTAAAGCAAAAAAATATCCATCTTAGGATCATTTTTAAGAAATTTTACTCTTGCAGTCGTTTTGTCTATACAGAACTGACTGAAAAGTACTGAAGTACAATAATTCTTCTCTTTCTTTATTGAACGTTATTTATTTTTTTTTATAATTTTAGTTGTTTTTAATTCTTTTCATCATGAAATCTACTACCATTTCGGCTGCCGAATGGCCTTTTTTAATTAGTAGACTATATCCAGAAAAATATATTTAAAAAATTTATTTCAATATTATTTTTATTTATTTCAATGTTATTTTTTTTTAATTATAAAAGTAAGTTTTAATTTTTATAATTTATTTTAAAAAAAATTACATCTTTAGAAACTTTAAAAAATTATAAATGCAAATTTTTTAAAAATAATTTTTTTGATCTAGTTTATTATTAAAAAAAATAATTCAATGTCATTTTTTTTAATTATAAAAATAAGTAATAATTTTTGTAATTATTAAAATTTTATTTTTAATAAATAGGAAGAAGAGGGCAAAGAATTGGTAGCAGATGCGATCCGTGCTGGTGTCTTCAACGATTTGGGATCAGGTTCAAACGTCGACGTTTGTGTTATCCGCAACAACCAAGTACGTGGTCCAGTTTTTGACTCTCGTAGCGTTGATTACATTCGTCCGTATGACGTTGCTAATGAAAAAGGTAAACGTCAAGGATCTTATCGCTATAAACGAGGTACTACAGCTGTTCTTGATAAATCAGTGCGCCCAATTGTTATTGAGCATGAGGCTGTGCGTAAAATTGAATTAGAATCAATGGATACATCCTCTTAAAAATATCTTTCAATCATTTTTTTTATTAATATTTATATTAATAATACAAAAAAAATTTCTTTTCTTTTTTATAACTATACGTATGTTGTGGTTATTACTAGGTGGTAATAATAACAATAATTATAACTGATTAATTGGTAAATTGATAAACACTATGCAAAAATAAACGAATTAAAATAAATTTATTTGTTTTGATTTTTTTTTTATTGTATTATTTAGCGTTTAAATTATTAATTAAAATAAACCAGCTTCTTGCTTTAGTCGTTGTCGTTTCCAAACTGGTAATTTATTGAACTCAATTGGGTTCATTTTAAAAATAGTTAAAAAATCATCGTAAGTTAAATGCATTTCTTTTTGAAATACATCAACACCGCTAGGTAAATTATCAGGTTCACTTTTCAATATTTTTAATGGATATTTAATATAAGCATCAAAATTTGATACAGAAATATTATTATTATTATTATTATTATTATTATTATTATTATTGTTGGTAGTAAAATTGTAATCATTTGAATTAAAATTCAATTGATTGCTGTGGTTATTATTATTTTGATGTGGTTTTTTCATCAAACTGCTGTCTAATGACAACCGAAATTCATCAAACGAACGATAGTCACGTAAATAATTATGATTCCAATTTTCAAATAATCCAATAAAAGTAGGAGGTTCTTTACCCTGCTGTATTATTGATATTGTCGTATTACGATCACGAGTTGACGAGTGAGTATGTAAAAATACACCGGCATCTTTGATGTATTTTTTAATATTGTTTGTTTCGCAAAGACTGCCAAGCCAGATCCATATTACTGTTGCTGTGTCCAATAGCCATGCAGCTTCGGGTAGTAAGCTAGATTGTGATAAATTTAAAATTTCATTTCCTACAAATGTATTGTTTACAACGTTACAGTGATACAAATGTTTATCTATTTGTTGCACTTCATTATTAATTTCCGTTCCATATTCTCCTTTTCCTAAAATTAAAAAAAAAAAAACAATATTATGATAAGTATTAAGCTGTATTTGAAAATTATCTCTACATACATAATTAAGAAATGACCTTGTATCTTGTGAACTATTGACATTTTTAAAGATATAAGCTCACCCTGACATTACACTCATCGAGACCTTTCATTTGAGTACCCACATCAATTTTTCATATATTTATATCCATTATATATATGTATGTATGAAAAATATATCAAAATGCATGTGGGTACTCAAATGAAAACTCTTGAAAAGTGTAACATCGGGATGAGCTTATATTTTTAAAAATGTCAATAATTAAGAACTGACCTTGCTATCTTGTCAACTATTAACATTTTTAACGATATAAGCTCATCCCAATGTTATACTCATCAAGACCTTATATATATATATATATTGATGTGGGTACTCAAATCAAAGGTCTCGATGAGTGTAATGTTGGAATGAGCTTATATCTTTAAAAAAGTACAGTGCAATTTAACAAATTCATTATTTAATAAAGCAAAATTTTATTTATTTATAGTTCACACAGTGACTGAAAGGTTACTAAATTATTATTAAAAAAAAATTATATTTACCTCCTAATTGAATCCAAAATTCATCATCTTCATTTCCTTCACAAATTAATGGTGCTGATATAGGCACAAGACGTCGTGAAGCTTCACGAGTATCACCAGTGCTTTTTCCACCACACCAAACAACCGGTGATTCAGAAAATAAAATAAAAACACCTGCTGAATCCAACGAACTTGCTCTTAGTGGCCGCTCTACAGCTTTTGATGTGTAAGATGTTGAACCAAATACTCTTACAAGATATTTCTTCGGTGCTGTATAAATATTATTAATTCAATATTTTAAAAATTTTTTCATTTATTTAATTTAAATAGTAATAATAAAAAAATTTAATTACGAATATCTCTGTGATTTCCAGCAAGAATACATAATTTTCCATTATAAATTTGCAACAAGTGTGGAGGTTCTCGTCCCTGTGAAGCTTTTACAATTTGTGCTGATGTTTCTTCAGCTAATTTGCAGGCAAAGTCTAATCCAGCTTCTCTATCACTGTTTATTGAATGCGCTCCTTCCCAATAATAAATCTACAAATATTTTACAAATTATTAATAAAAAAATCAATTAATTATTTAATATTCAAAAATTAATTAATATTAAAAAAGAATTATAATTGTCACGGTCGGAAAATTAGTAAAAAGTTAAATTAAAAAATTAATTATTTAATATTAATATTAAATTATAAAATACTTACAATAGATTTTTCTTTTCTTCCACTGCCGTAAGTATATTTAATAATATAACAAACACTTGCATAAAAAAATCCTAAAGATTTTTCATTATTTTTATTAACTAAAATAATATTTTCTTCACAGACCCTCCAAATAATTAAATTACCAGTACCATCATCAACTAACTGACACTCAGCAGCTAACTTGGGCCTTTCATTCATATAATCACTATCAAAAGATGTCTCAAGAATATGAATAGGAGTAGAAATTGTTTCCCATGGACGTAAAAGTTTCTTCATTTCTTTGGGCTCATAATTTTCAATAGCACGTGCAACAGGTACACAACTGCTGTATCCTTTTTTTTTAACAAACCCTCTTGCATTTCTTATAGCTTCTAATTTTTCTCTAGCATTTACATTATTTCCAACCCAAGCCCAAACCCCGGCTTCGCCTCGGTCAATAAAAAATACCGAAGATGATATTAAATCACTGCGAAATATCGGTCCTGATTTTAATTCAACAACTTTATACTTGCCTGATTTTTCACTGCACTTGTAGAGTTTTATCACCGGAGCAGGTATGTTTATTATTTTAGATTTATTATACGGAATTACTGAACGTAATTTATAATCTAAAATACTTGAAAATAATTTTTTTTCTTCATCAGGTAGCGTTTGTTCGTAGCCATCATCAACAAATATTATTTTTTTATTAATATATCCACGCTCTTCTATAAATTTCATCGCATGTCGGCGATCTAGTGCTGAAGATGATGACCCAAGCCAAATAAATACTACTCCATGTGATTTTACATCAATTATTATCACATCAGTTGATGAAAAGTGATCCCATTTTATTGAATCACATTCATTGATAATCGGTACCGATAATCCAGTTACGCGGTACAATAATATCTCCGGTTTGTTGTCAAAATAATCAATGTAATCAATTGTCAGTCCTTTGCTGAAATATCCAATGAAACGCGAACTTTCTCGGCCCTCAGATTCGCGAAACAGAAGAGTTGCATTTACTTGGGCATCCAATTCCGCTGTTCTTAGTGCTGCAGCTCCTGATATGCTTGAGTCACAATTTCGACCGATCCAAAAGTGGATTGTACGGATTATATTTTCTGTTATTTTTATTTCTTTCATCTAGTAATTAAATATTAATTATTATTAAAATTTTTATTTTTTAATAGTGTTTTAGATAAATTTATATTAGAAAAATTTTTTTTAATAATACTCACGGGGATTCCAGGATAAGATAGCCCACTTTCTTTTGACGACACGGCATAAATTATATATGCTGAGTCAGATAAAAAGTATCCTATTTTATTACGTGGTACAGATGTTGCTTGTAGTCCCTTTTTATAAAATAAAAAAAATTAATATTAATAATAATTTGTGTCTTTAACATTTTATTATTATTATTATTATTACTATTTTATTATTATTATTATTAAGAGAAAAAGAAAAATTTTGTCTCCAGGACAGTTATATGATCAAATCGGTTTTTTTTTAGTAAAATTTAGTATCTTGATTTGAATTGCATTCGAAAATGCTCTATCTCTAGATACATAATTAAGAAATGACCTTATATCTTGTGAACTATTGATATTTTTAAAGATATAAGCTCATCCCGATGTTACACTTATCAAGACCTTTCATTTGAGTATCCACATCAATTTTTCATATATTTATATATATGTATATATGAAAAATATATCAAAATGCATGTGGGTACTCGAATGAAAGCTCTTGATGAGTGTAACATCGGGATGAGCTTATATCTTTAAAAATGTCAATAGTTAAAAAAGTACAGTGCAATTTAACAAAAGTCATTATTTAATGAAGCAAAATTTTATTTATTTATAGTCCACCTCACGGCAGTCACATAGTGACTGCAAGATTGCTAGTTATTATTATTGAATAAATTTTTAAATACATACTTGAATTTTCCAAACAATAAAAGCTGACTGATTTTTTGGTACATTTCGAAATGCATCACTACCAGAGTCTTCTGAAAAACTTGGACGCTCATCCTGGTAAAAAATTATCTCATTAATTAAAAAAAAAAAAAGTTAACTTATATGGAGTGTTTTAATTAATTGCAAATAAAATTAAAACTTGATACACATCTCTGATTTTTATGTTCTACTAAATTACAAACCTACATTAGATCTACATTCCTTATTTCAAACTAATATATTTGAAATTATTTAAAAATCTTCAAATATTTTGTTTATTATAAAAAATTTTTTTCTGTTTTAAAATATATAAAAAAAAAATAAAATATCAAATTTACTATTTCTAAGAATTTATTAAATAAATTAATACTACTTACGTGCTGATTTTTTCTTGAACCCATTAGCAATCAGAATTTATATATTAGTTACTTAATTTTTATTATTATTAATATTGTAATGATAATAAAAATTTATAATAATTTGAAGAAATGTAATAATAATAATAACAACGATGAAGATGATAGTTACAGTTTGAAAGTTAGCTTACTACTAACCGATATAAGTAAGTAAAGTTGTTAAAACAGTGTAACTAATATAATAAAAAGTATATAGTTTTAAAAAAGAAACCATAGTGGTCCGGAAACGGGTCCGGAACTCAAACCGGCCACCCGGAACATTACAACGTATACATACATAAATATAATACTCAATACCACACCAGGTACACAGGCATTTTTCTACATTACTCTCTTTATTTTGAAGTAAATATGTACTGTTTGTATACATATTATCCACCACACAGCACACACTCATTAAAAGTTAACTGATTATATTCCTAACGCACCTGCTGTGTGTTTTATTTTATCTTTTTTCTTTCTTTCTTTCTCTTCACTACCTCTATATACGCAATAACTGAATATTAAAATTATTTTAATATTTAAGTAAAAAAATTATTATTATTTTTTTTTATGAATAATTAAATATATTTATTAAAGTTCTAATTAACAAATTGTTTAATTTCATATTTTTTAAAAAATGATTTTTTGAAATTTTTAATTAATGGTCCAAAAAAAAATTATTTGAGTAACTTGAACGAAAATATTATAGATATACTAAGTAATGAATTTTTTTTAATTTACTTTTTTCTCGCATAAACTTCTACTAAAAAAGTAAAATTTTGGTAAATATTTACAAATTTACAAGTGGGGTCAACCATTTTAATTTTCATTTTTTTAAATGAAATATCCATTTGATTTAATTGGTATTTTTTTTCTTGAAAAATACATAAAAAAAAATGAACAATAAAAAAAAAAAGTTGTTTTTTTTTAAATTGTTCGTTTTTTAATGTACTTTTAAAAGAAAAATATATGAAAAACATAAAAAAAAAAATAAAATAGAAATTTTGTCCAAAAACATGAGCCAAAATTTTTTCCAACTTTTGAAGGCAAAAAAGCTATTGAAGTCTTTATTTTTTTCTTTCACGATATTTTTTAACATAAATGCGCCGTAAAAACTGATCAGAATCAAAAAAAAATTTGAAAATGTTAATTTTTTACCTAGTTATAGCCCAAAATGGGGTTGATGACCCCACTTGTAAATAATTACCGAAATTTTTACTAATAAAAATTTTACTACAAAATTGAAAAAAAGAATTTATATAAATAATTGTGGACATCGTTTAAATAATCATAAGCGTAACAGTAAATTTAAATTTACACATTATTTTTTTCCAACTGTAAATTATTTATTACTTCATATCAATTATGTAGTGGTATTGTTGTATTAAACAATCGGAATTCTTTTTAAACTTATGAATCATATTTTTAATAAATGCAATTAAAATATTTTAACCGCAGGTTTTAACGGGTTCTTTAACTTGAACATCATCTGAGTCAGTTTCATGTGAATCTTGTTTTTCGCCAACTTCAAATCTTGCGAAATCAATTATTTCAGCTTGATTAGCCAACAATGCCTGCTGGACATCGATAGTTGGGTCCAGTAAATATTCTTGATAAATTAGAGTTGATTCATCATCAGAATTTTTATTGGGTGCATCAACATCTGGGTGTCCAATTTTACTAGGATTCATTCCTAAAAAAAAAATAAAATTAATAAGTAAAAAAAAAAATTTTTTAAATATAAAATTAAAAAAAAAAAACCTATGATATGTTGACAAAGCTGCATTCCCAGTAGTTTATTTGGTGGTGATGATTTAAAAGCTAACAGAGCTCCATATTTGCCAAAAGAAACTGGCAATGGATGAACTGGAGCTGGGTGTGTGCACCCAACTAACTGTAAATCTTGATTAACATTCATACAAAGTGCACGTTTAATATAAATATTTTCTCCAACACTTCCGATAGTCAGTGCGACATGATCAGATAAATTTTTTCCATCCTCAGTTGATATTTCCTTTAATAATTCGCCGTCTAGTAATATTTTGTGGCTTCCACCAATTGTGTCGGTGGTATCTGAATTTTTTAATTTTGACGAATAATTGACGACAGATGTTACCACTGTCTCGGCAAAACTGTGAAACGTTTTATTACGAGCTACGAAATCTGTTTCACAATTTATTTCTACCAATGCACCGTAGTTTTTGTTAACCATAACTGCTACTAATCCTTGGGCTGTTATTCTTCCTTTTAATTTTTCAGCTTTTGACCATCCTAACGCTTGAGCTTGTTGTTTTAACCAAGCTTCTGCCTGTAAGATTTATTATTAAATAAATAAAATATAAAACCCTGAAGTTGAAAAATATTTCATTATTTTCAGGATTTTTTAATAAATTATAGAAAAAAAATTTTTATTTGACAGTTTTTTAGTTTTTGAATCAATAAAAATTATAAGTAAAAAAATTTTTTTTTTAATTTTTCAAACTTTGTGTCAAATTTTACAAATTTTTTTCAATCAAAAAAATTTTTAAATGTCGATTAATTGAATTTAAATGCAAACTTTTTATTAACATTTTTTTTTAAAATAAATTTGTGAGAAAAATTAATAAAATTGTCAAATGTCAGCTGATTTGTGTCATAAAAATATCCAAAAATAAAGACTAACCTTATCAACATCATTGTCATGTAATTGTAATGCTTTTTTACAATTAACAAATGTGTATCCTGTTTTTTTACGTAATTTTTCCAGTAAGCTTTTGCTTGATGATTGCCATAATGATGAATTTGTTGTGAAATAACGATTGAACCGGCATAAATTCATCTGGAACATTTTTTTTTAATTCTAAATTAGTTTTAGTACAATTCTTATAAATTTATATAAAAAAAATCATAATAATAAAATTAAAGCATGCAATTAAATTACCTTTATTTATTGATGATTTATTATAAATAAATTATATTTATTTTTTACACCCACAGTATTTTTAAAGAAAATAATTGATAATAATTATTAATTAAAAGTTTAATAAGTTTGTAAATTAAAAATAAATTGTTTGAGAAGAAAATTGACAAACTCGGAAAATGGAGTAAAAAATTTTATTAATTTAAACTGTTAATCAATGTGTTGAAATTTAAATAAAAAACATGTAATGAAAATTTAACCGCATAGTAATATATATAGGTTATGTTCTATTGTTGTTATGATGATTATTGTGTAAAACTAACAAAATGGCACCCGGTCAGTTAGATTTCTAAAAAATCGCTTACCATTTTATGATAAGTTATTTTTGTGCATTTACATAAAAAATTAACCTGAAAATAATTTTAAAATACAAACTAAAAAAATAAAAATCTATACTTGTATTTTATTTAGCCGGTTATAAATTTATTTAATTATAATTAAATAATTACCTGTCAAATTTTAATTCAGCTAAAATTATATATTAGCACAAACAAACGGAACTCAAAATAACAAATAAGATGTTATTCATAAACAAAGAAAATTATACTACTAATAATAATCATGAAGAAAAGGAAGCTGTCAATTTTAAGGAAGAAAAATAAATCATTTTATAATTATCATTAATCATTAAATTTATAAATTTATATATAAAATGAGGTAAGTATATTATTAATTATTTTGAAAAAATTTAACCACAGAGAAAAAATAAAAATTATTTTCTGACAAAAATTTGATACAATAAACAATTAATTATATAAATTTTCATAAGAAGTATATTCTTCTCTGTATTGGTGACAGTTAATTTATTAACTAATGTAGCACATATTTAATAATTTTATAAAAAATAAATTGTGGCAAAAAAATTAACATGTAGAAATTAAAAAAAATAATTTTTTTGTTAAATAAAATTAACAAATAGTCAAATGACTGTTAACTTTAATGTCATTTATAATTTCAGCAATAAAAGTACTGAAAATAGTGAGAGTCCGCGATGCCAACGATTAGATGATCAGAAGGATGAAAATAGTTATTGGGGGATAAAGTTTGGCGGCACCCTGTCTACTCAGACCGGACCGCGTACCGCTCACCGCTCAGTAGATGAGTAGATCGCTGGAGACTCGTTGCCTAGCGACATTGTATTGATCTCCAGCTAGTATCTCGGCAACGGCAGCTTTTTCTATATACATATATACACTCACACACACACACACATACGTACATACATACATACATATATACATATATACATACGGACACCCAACACAACCCTCAAAACTTACTCATCTATTCTGCAAATATTATATACATACAATCTGCTTCACCCCCTTGATCCCTTTTATTGCAATATCATCATATTTTCTTCTCCCATAAATAATTCAATTCTTTATTTATTTATCTATTTATTAAAAAGTATATTTAGTCATCTACATCTTTATATAAAATTAATACATAAGTACAAGTATTGCAAAAATTTTTCCATTAAATTAAATGATATATTTTTATAATAACTAAAATTTTATTTTATTTTATATACAATTTATTCCTAATATTACATATATTTAAAAAAAAATATAAATGTTTATAACAGGAGTATTTAAATATAAACAAATTAATAGAAATTTTTGAATAATGAACATAATTGGGATTTATAAAATAAATAAATATATATAAAGGGTGTAAAGCTTGCATAGGTCCATCCAGGGTTGCTGGGCAACGATCGTCCACCCTTAAACTTTCCATCGTTTTGATGATGGAGGAGAACCTCAATCCCCTTTTCCAAATATATATCTCTTCTTTATTTTATTTTCTGCCCTTTTGATCTCACTCTCTTCTTCGGTATCTTCATGAAACTCTGATCAATATAAAACCCCCTCATGCTATTTGCTTATAAAAGCCCCCCCTTATTTTTTTATCATACAATTATATCTTATAAAAAAATTTATCTAACATAAATAATCAATAATCTTAACAATTTTATTTTATAAATAATTAAAAAAATATTTATTATAAATTAATTAAATAATTTTTTTAAAAAATATTTAATTGACGTATTAACAAAAATATTTTATTTATTTTGAAGATAATCCTTGTGGAGACAATTGTTGATTATGGTCCGCTCTTAGCATTCACCGCGTGCCTTATGAATTGTTAAAACATGGCACATGGAAGCCCGCTGTGAACGCAAGGAGCATAGACTCATTTATAATTTTTATAAAATTAATTCATACATTTAATATTAATAATCACAATCACTAAGCACCACCACAATCACAAATAAATTAATAAATAAAAACTTTTATGATATAAAGTTGTCTTGCAGATCCGTCCGAATGATCCTGGGCCTTGTAATTTATTAGATAAATAATAATAACGCCAAAGAGTGACTGGAATGAAAGTAGAAGTGAAAAGGGTGATCAGGGACGAGGGAAGGGGACAGTGCAAGGGACAAGGAACTATTTGATACAATGCAACATATTGAAAAGAAGCAAACGTCACGCAGATAGGGTGTTGGTCTGATAAAGTTGAGTTGGTGGAGATAGATGGTCAAAATGGTTAGAAGCGGGGAGGGGGATTATTGATGATTATTTCAGTATTTAAAATGCAAAACTAGACCCTCTTTTTTTTCCAAGATGATGACTTATTATTTATTCCTTGTAGGGAGAAACCACCCTCTTTTTTCCCCCCGTGTTTTCATTACTTAAAAACTTATCCCTAAGCACTATGGACCCCCTTGAGGATATACACAGCATTTATAATTTTCAAGAGCAGCTGACACTGCCTGATGGTCTACTTTTATTGTGTATGGACATTCGCATAATCGAGTAGTTATATATCCCCCTATCGACCCACATTACCCCTCTATTAGAAATATTAATGTCCGTTAATTACAAAGAAATTTCACTTTAGTATTTTTTTTCAATTTTATTTTATATATAAAAATAAAAAAAAAAGAAATTAATTAAAGTATTTTAGATGAAAAAAAAATATAAAAAAATTTATTGAAAAAATAAAAGAATTACAATTTATTTTATTAACAAATGATTTAATGTGATAGAAATAACACGTGGACGTCACGGATGATGACCTTTATGTCGACACACGCCCACCCCATTGATTTTAAAATACTTTCATTCATGATATATATATTCTGTCATCATTAATTTTTATATTTAATTAAGTAAGATAGTTAAAAAAAATTTTTTTTGACGCCTATTTTAATAATTAATTTTTTTTCTCACTTGAGATAAAAAAAAAAAAATCATTCACAAAAATTTTAAATGAAATTTTTATAATTAATGATTTAAATAAAAGTTATTAAAATAAAGAAGAAGTTTAGATAATTCACAAATAAAAATTTTATATTTTTATAGTTACAAAAAAGTAAAATTCACTGATATTAAAAAAAAAAATGCAATAAAGATGACACTCACTAAAAAATAATTAAAAAGATCCGGTGATTTATAAAGTTTTAAAAAATAAAAAAAAAATAATAATCAATTGATACCTTGAGGATATTCACAAATCCTTGTAGTATTGATGTAGTAGCGGTTTACACAAGACGATGTTCACACAGAGTTGAATTGCCAAGAATAAATATAAATTTAAAAAGATGAATAGTAATATAAAAATATAAAATAATAGAACTGTAGGAGGCGATGTACGGAATCGCGCGGCAATGCTTGGTAAATGTGAAACGACGAGCGTTAGAGTGTCCAGAGTGTGGCAAGGACGATGATGATGGTTAGGACGAGAAAAGGGAAAATTCGTTCTACTGATCATGCGCTACCCGGTTTTAACTTGTACTAGTATTAATATTTCATATGTATATTTAATATATATATATATATACTACACTGTAACTGTGAGTGAGTAGTAAGAGTCAGGGTGTCGTCAGTTGGTGTTGTTGGTTTGATGGTCGCGGGGCCACTGCGCCCTCTTCGTCACCGTAACCCTCTCTAGTCTTCGGAGCAACCCCTAGCTTCAATTCTAAAACCCTACATCCCCCTACTTCCTACTTCTTCCCCCCTATCGAACTCTCCTACCTAAATTTTCCACCCCAGTTTCTGCCCCTACACCCCTCCTTTCATTCTCCTCTTATCACTATTCTCAACAGCACACTGTGATGCTGCTACCAATACTACCATACATTTACCGACACACTAAAATTTAAATCGCCCTATGTCGGCCCTACTCTCTCTTGTCCATTTCCACTTCTACTTTCGAGTCACAATCATCACTACTGCTTCTACCACTACTGTCGTACCATTTATCCACCACCAAATGTTCTCTGATCATTGGTACTGTATATCTGTTCTGTTACTATTTTACTACTACTACTACTACTACCGAGGGCATAGTAATTGTAGTAATAGTAAAAGCATTGATGATAATCATTATTTATTTATTTTTGTACACAGAAAAAAAAATTTACTTGAATCAAGTAAATAATTTTGAAGAATTTTATCTTCTTGATTCAAAATAATTTTTCTTTTCAGTCTAGTTTAAATTTTTTCACTGAAAAAAAAAAAGTTATTTTAATTAAGAAAAAATTTTTAGACTTAGAAAGTAATTTTTAAGAGTTTTATTCTTTTTAATTAAGTAAAATTTTAGTTTAAAAATTTTTCGACAAATCAAGTCGATAAAGTTCTTTAAAATTAATTTTTTTTTTCGGTGTAAAAAATAAATCATATGCATAAAGCTTGATCCAAAATTTTTTAGTAAATTAAAAAAGCCAAACAAAATTTCTTAATTTAAAAATTTTTTTATGAAAATTAATTTAGCAGATATTTAATAATTTTAAGAATTTTTGTTACAAGTAAATAATGGCACAAAAATTGACAGAGAAATTTTAAAAAATTAAAAATGCA